CTCTGCAACACCAGCGTCGATTGATTATATTAATACATTAGATGTTAGATTGTAACATATATGTGATAATGTTGTGTATCAAATTGCCATACGCTAAATAAAATAAAATCCCGAACATACTCTACTAACTCCGATTCATATGTAGGATCACCCTGAGGCACAACCGCACAAAACACAATTCCAGCTTTCTTTCTTGGGCTATTAAGAACTATTATCTCTTTCTTCTCCGCCGCGAGACTCAAAACCATGGCCCTTAATTTAGTTCTGGATCAGGACACTTGCATACTTGTATACCATACCCAGAAGAGCAGTTTCTTCCTGTTTCGCGCTGTTACCAGCATCGCAATATCATCCGCTAATACGAAGGGGTAACCCCCTCTCCAAATTCGCAATCCATGATCTCGTCGTATGCCAGGTTTAACAGTATTGGCCAATTATGGACTCCGGGGGCACTTTAGCCGTAACATCTACAATCACGCTTCTCCCAACCATGATTTTTTTTGAACAGATAATCCGAGACAATATTCATTATATATGCTAAACAGGACTACTACTGCAAAGTGTTAAAAGCATTTCGAATGTCGAAAAGGAGTAGAAACGCCCACTTCTTGCGGTCTTTTCTCCCCTCCGTTACCCACAACACCTCCATCACTGCATCTACCGTACTCTTATCCTTGCAAAATACATCCTACCTTAAGGACAATCTCCCTGACCTCTATATCAATCTTTAATTCTTTTACGCTACACCCTAAGATAAATAGGTCGATACTTTCCAGCCCTTTTAGGTAAAAGTACAAGCCTGTAGATTTTAAAAGAGTCCGGAAACACCTACGCCTCAAGCAATACGTTCGTGTGACCCAAGCCATGTAGGCTCCAGTTATTCCAGACATTTAACCGCCTTTGGAGTCTATACCGGGAGCTTTACGCAACTTAACGGACTCTGGAGTTTTCTGGAGTAAAGTTTTTCTAAAGAGATTTTTCATTCTCCTCCATTCGTACATCATGTCAAGTCCTGTTCGGAAATATCTTTCAGAAAGCCTCGAGCTTCTCGTCCAGCTCTTACAAACGATACGCTTTAAAATGCTTTATTACGATTTTATACGCCTCTGCCCAGAGGTGCTTGTCCAACTTGCTACACAGATCCCTCCAGTACCTCTTCTTCTTTGCTCGGATCGTCCTCTTCTAGATTTTTCTTCCGAGCTTTGTACTCTCTCTCACTCGCTGTTTCTTCCTGTCTTCAATTCCTCGGTTTTGTCGCTTGTCTACGCAGTTTAATGTACTCTCTTCTTGGTCTCTTGATCTCATCATTCCACTAGTAAGGAATCCTGCTGTAAGAAACAGTTGTTCTGAATTTCGTGTTTCGGTCTAATCTCAAATTTTTCTTAGCCAAAAAGCTTGTTTTCTGCCTATCAAATTTTAGTGTACGAGACCACAGAAAGTGTTAATTTTTTATAGAGTAATTAGGCTTCCTTGTTTGCTAAATAATAAAAAATTTTAAGTCTTGATCACGGAAAAATTTATTACAACAAATATACAAAAGAAAACTTATCAAAGCGATAAGTAATACAGTTTGTAAATGTACAAAGTATAAAGTTTAATTTGTAAGTATATTGAATATTGATTAAAAACTTTGTATATAAATAAATATATATTATATATATATATATATATATATATATATATATAAATATATATATATATATATATATATATATATATATATATAGATATATATATATATATATATATATATATTATATATATATATATATATATATATATGCCGGTTTAGAACGTCCTTCTCCGTTGTCCGACACCTAACTTCCATCCTCTTCTATTGTGGCAATCTTCCGTTGATAGATTCCGTTCGCTCATTGACTTTTTTATGTTTTGCTGCCACTCTAGTTTTGGTCTTCCTCGCTTTCTATTTCCTATTAGGGTCCAGTTCAGTATTTTTTTGGGCCATCTAGTATTTTGCATTCGCTCTACGTGTCCGTACCAGGTAAGTTGTTTCTTTTCGATATCCTGAATTATCGTACCTTCGATTTCCATTCGTTGTTTTATATGGTCATTCTTCATTCTTTCTCTTTGTGAGACTCGCATAGATCTTCTTATCGCGTCCATTTCGACTGCCTCTACCTTCTTTTTTTGTCTGTCTGGAATTCTCCATGTTTCCGCTCCATACAATAGGCTGCTCTTAACCATTGTCTCGTATATATTAAATTTTCTCCTTTTTGTATCTCCTTGCTCCACAAGATGCCATTCAGACATCCCATTATCTTTTTAGCTGTAACTATTCGTTTTTCTATCTCTTTCACATCTGTTCCGGTATTGTCGAATGTGATACCTAAATAATCATATTCTTGACATTGCAGAATTTCTTCACTGTTGTCCAACTCCAAATTTTCGCTCTGAGAGCCTACACATAGATATTTCGTTTTATTTACGTTAACTGTCAAGCCCCATTCTTCATACTCTTCTATCAGCTTTCTAATCATATATTGCATGTCGTCTTTGTCATTGGCTACAATGACCTGATCATCTGCAAACTGAAGAGTAAACAGGTATCTGTCATCTATCCCTATACCCATTCCGTGTATTTTCCTTTCCAGTTCTTAAGTGCTGCTGCTACATATATTTTGAATAGTGTAGGAGAGATAGGACATCCCTGACGTAGTCCCTTATTCACTATGAAGGCATCTGTGAGTTTTTTACCTATCTTTATTCTTGATTGTGAATTTTCATACAGTTCTTTAAGTGCAGCTATATAGTTGTGATTGATGTTCGTTTGTTCTAATACCTTCCACAGTCTCGATACTGGAACTGTATCGTAAAAACTTTGTACCTTGTTGAAACTAGATAAGACACATTAAATTTAAATTGTACATGTTATTTTGGTATTTTTTTAGAGTTATTAAAATTTTTAACGTATAATCTCATATAGACTTTTTAGCATTTTAGATTCTATTTTCTGATTTTTTATGCGTAGATACGTGTTCGGTCTATAGAGTTCGTAACAGCCAACCGCAAGCCATCATCTCTGGCCGTACCATTCTCATCCATAGGTCAATTCGATATACCACTTAGTGATTTTTGTCTAAGTAACAGATTCATGTAAATTGAATATTAAAATTATAACTATACTAATTATAATTATACTAATGTTATACTACATTAGCCTTTTTATTTTATGGCCAGTGTTTGAACCATCATCGATTTACTAGATTATACACAGTAAAATTATGGTTTTTTATTTACAAACTTGCATCAGCCTGTATTTATTTTAGCCAAAAAGAAGAAAATTAACAGTCATAGTGTTAATAATACAAGAATAAAATTTTGTATCTATAAAAAGAAAAAAACCAGTAAAGATTTAAGGATATATGTCGTGGAATGCAAATTTTAGATTCCCAATGTCTTTATTAACATCTTTATCAACGTCTGTTTTGCCTTACAATTTTTAGAAGGCACAGATTAACAGAAATTTCGATGTCAACGGATACAACGAATAAACAATTAATAAAATGTTAAATCAAAAACTACTCAAAAAAACCCTGAAATTAGTATTTCCACCACCAGAGAAAAAACGCAGTACCTTCTGCTCCATTACATATACAGGCAAACTATCAACAAAAATAGCCGAACACATAAAAAAAGGAACAACACCAGCTTTTCGAACAAATAACAATCTAGGCAAATATATCAAAAACAACAAGAGCAAAAATAAAAACATTACACAGTGGTGTGTACAGACTTAAATGTGGCAACTGCCGAAAAACTTACAACGGTCAAAGTGGTAGAAGCTTTAATAAACGAATAGCAGAACATAAAAGGGCTTTCAATAATAGAAAAACAGAGTCTACATACGCACTTCACCTTCTAGATCACAACCATTCTTTTATTGATGAATTTAAAATTCTTCACATTCAAAATAAAGGCCTTAAGCTATCCTTGTTAGAATCTATGGAAATCAACAAATTAAAAAACACAGATATATAATTCTGAATGACCAACTTGAGACAAACACTTCTCCCCTCCTCAACCTCTTTCATTAGAGACTATAAAGTGTAAACGCATGCCAAAAATAGATCACTTGAGAAAGGCAATCAGCCGAAACAGCTGTAGTGATAAGTTAAAATAAATTTTGTGGAAGTTTGATTTATTAATACATAAAATGAATCCCTTTTGTATGGAGTTGAAGCTTGGACACTTAAATAATCCAACATTAAAAACCTAGAAACATTCGAAATATGGTGTTACCGACGTATTTTGAAAATATCATGGATGGATCGCAAAACAAACGAACAAGTTCTCGAACAACTAGGAAAACAATGCGAAGTTTTAAATTCCATAAAAATCAGGAAATTGGAATACTTGGGGCACATCATGAGAGGTGAAAAGTACGAACTACTAAGGAATATAATGCAGGGTAAAATCAAAGGTAGAAGAAGCGGAGGAAGACGTAAAATCTCGTGGCTACGCAATTTCCGTGAATGGTTTGGATGCAGTTCAACTGAACTATTCAGGCGAGTAACCAATAAAATTATAATTGCCAGAATGATTTCCAATCTCCGATAGAAGTGGAACTTGAAGAAGAAGAAGAAAATGAATTTCCATAAAGTTACGGTCGAATTCTTCACTTAATTTTTAGGGTGTTTTTTATAGTTTCTGAACTACAAAAATCCATAGAAGGATTGGTGATTTGTTGCAGGGGTCTAGTCGTCAGCACATCCAAACTGGCGAGATTTAGTTGCAGCCATGTCAGAAACATAGAGGCTTAAAAGTAAAGACGTTTTACAGCTTCGATAAGGGCCTCGGTGAGGGACCTTTTACAAAAAGCAGTTCTTTTACTTTTTTTTATTTGATATTATGGTTACAGTCAACCAGTGGATTTTAGTTTGCGTAGAGTTGGTAATGTTATCTATACAGGTTAAAAAATAAAACACAAATACTACACATAAAAATTTATTTACCAACATATTATCATATTAAATTTTCTTTTACCGATATATGGGCAAATCAGGGAAAGTTGGCGCTGTATCATTAGGGCCAATAGTACCAAACATTGGGTATGAAGCTCCACTAGGGTCCCACCAGGGTCCAACGTTAATTGGTAGTGGAGTAGTACTAGTAGTAGTTGATGCTGTGGTTACCGTATATATTTCTATTGGACCACCGCTAATTACCGGCAAACCCAAATTTGGGAATAGTTTAGATGTTATAGATGAGAGTAGTTTACCGATATCGTTGGATAAAAAGAAATTATTTCCATCCAAAAGACCCGGCAGTGCATCAGAAATGGCATCTGTAAGAAATAGAACATAATATTAAAAACAAACAGTATTATTAATTACTAAATGACTTAGATGAAGCTACATTTTTGGTCAACACCGGCTGATTGCTAAATTTGAATTTGTACACATTGTGTAGCCAAATAGGAACCCATGTCGAGCGGGACATTAACCAGTGAGGGGAGAAAAAAAACGACCTATACAATTATTTTTCCTGTTCCTCTTCTTGATTGTTATAGCGTGTGTTGGCTATCAAATTGTCTATAGTAATTTTGTTGATTTATGAATGAATAATTTTTGTATACTACTTGGTTATATGTATCTGTATCTGTAGATAGGCGAGGCGAGGCGGGAAGAAGGGAAAGGATGTAAACTTGCCAGGGTAACACTAAGTAACCTTGAAGAGTCAACATCAAAGAAGTACTTGGGAATGACCAGGAAAAATCTACGTTTGGCAGTTGGTTTTTTAACTGGTCATTGTCAACTAAGCAAAAAAAGTAGATTTTTTATGGTCATTCTCAAGTACTTCTTTGATGCTGACTCTTCAAGGTTACTTAGTGTTATTCTGGCAAAATTACGTCTTTGCCTTTTCTCCCATCTGTTTACAGTTTGCGTATGGGAGTGACATTTTACAAAAGTGATCAGCAATGCGGTTGCCTTTATTCCTAGTGTATCCTTTAACTCAACTTAGGATGATGGAATTACCATCCTAAGCCTGAGTTAGTGACTCGTAACACTTTATTACTAACCCTGATGTGACACTTGGTCACTTTGACACTGTGCAGATCAATATGGTTTTTTCTGCTATACCTTTTTGGGTTATCTCTTTTGCGGCTATGGAGATACCAGCCAGTTCTATATGAACTACGCTGGCATTTTTGTCCAGACCCCACTTTATTCTTAGGTTCAGTGATTTGAAGTACTACTGGATATTTTTTCTTATTAATCATTACTCGAGATGCCAATCATTTATTGAGCTTATGATTGCTTCTCCCATCCAGTTTGGTGCTGTTGAGAGACTTCTTCTTCAAGTGCCATCTGCGCAGCGGTACTTAGCACTCTTCTCATTTTGTTGAAATTTGCTCTAGCCTTTTCTATTCTTATTTTGATTTCCTGATTGTAATCATTTGTGGAGTTAATCATTGTTCCCAGATATGCATATCTCCTTGTCTCCTTGTTTGACGTTGGTTCTGTTTATTAGAAGATTCTCGTTATTTCTTTGAGTTTTCGATAAGTTTTTTAAGCTTGATTTGAGAGACTAGAAACAAGAAAGTGTGTTTTGATCAGGACCTTACCATTTTCGCAAAGTTTGGAAGTTTGTTTTCATCTTCCTTCGTTATTATGCCAACAGTTCGATGTAAGTCCTTTGAGAGCACTTTTTGTAGTTTCTTTCCTTACCAATTCTCTATTAGTTCGTGGAGTTGAAGCCTTTTCATTCCGCAGATTATCTTCTAAGAGTCGGTTGTAGAGTTCTACATCCATCCTCCTAGGGTCGCACGATTTGATAAGGCTTTTTTTGCAGACTAATATTATAGGTTAGTCAGTGGTAGTCAGACATAAAGGTATCCTTTTTGGTAATTCTCATCACCACTTTTTGGCGATTCTTAGATAATAAAGAAAACATTTACACCTACAACCATCGTTTTACGAAAAGACAAACTAGAAATATTACTAGAGGCCTATTTTCTTCAAAATCATGCAGGAAATAAAAAAAATTCCAGGACTAAAAATTTCATTGTTACAATTTATTTAATCACAAGTTGTTTAAAAAAATCTGAACAACTTTTTACCTTATGAAGGTAAATATGCAAAAAGATTTTAAGGGAATATTTTTACCAACGAGCTTTTTGCTGTGTCTATATAATATTAACGATAAACTTTTTAAAATAAAAAATTAATTAATTACTTGTAACATCGAACAATGACTCAACACCAAATGCAGCTATGTTTTGGAATGAAGCTAAAACATAAATATGTTATTAAAAAATATATTTAGAAGGCAATAAATATTATATTTAAATTTAAAAACATAAATATTAACACAAATATGTATTATCCATGTCCAATGCAAGCATTGTTGCATATTTATATCAATTTAATTGACTTTATTATCCCATCAGCTCCTAGCCTTTGTTTTATATGCCAATGCAGCATCAACTAATTTTCACTGCGTGTATTAACCAACTAGAACAAATTCGATAACAAATAATTGGGCGAGTGTTCGAACAAATGCTTGGACATGTCCAGGCGTACGTACAATTAGTATTTTTTGTTAAGCCTTTTTTTAACAAAACCTTTATACAGGGTACAAAACTTTATTATTATAAATATAACATTTTGGTAAAAATCAACTAAAAAATCATTTTAAGTAAACAAATAAAGTAAAAGAAATCTTTTACTAAAACTAAAAGAAAATATTGTGTTTACATTCAGGTATTCTTAGGATTTTTCTTAGCAAAGCAAGTGCTACAAATTAATTTTTCTTTATATAATTTAAAAGTATATTTTCTGTAATTTTTCTAACTGGTAAGCATGTTTTGTATGTTTTCAATAAAATTGATAGTGTGTAAAATAATTTATTAATTAAGCTGAGTATACTTTCGACATAATAAATGTCATCATCAGAGCTATCGTCAATTAGGCAATAAATACTTCATAGAAAGAAAATTGTGGACACACAACATATTAAAAACAAAGATCGGGCTCTCTAGGCCACAGATCTTGGGTCTAACCCTTATCTTCTTCTTCAGGTGCCATCTCCGCTACGGAGGTTGGCAATCATCATAGCTATCTTAATTTTTGAGGCAGTAGCTCTAAATAGTTGTTTTGAGCTGCATCCAAACCATTCTCTCAGGTTCTTCAGCCATGAAATTCGTCTTCTTCCGATGCTTCTTCTGCCATCTATTTTTCCTTGCATTATGAGTCGCAGGATGCCATACTTATCGCCCCGCATCACATGTCCGAGATACTGTAGCTTTCTTTCTTTAATTGTAAGTTCAATTTCCTTCTCTTTGCCTATTCTTCTCAGTATTTCATTGTTTGTAACTCTATCTACCCAGGAAACCCTCATAATTCTTCTATAGGTCCACATTTCAAAGGCGTTAAGTCGTCTCATGGTATCTAGATTTAACGTCCATGATTCCACTCCATAATATAGTACACTGTATACGTAACATTTTGTTAGGCGTACTTTAAGAGCTAATGTTAGATCTTTGCCACATAGGACCTTTTTCATTTTTATAAAATTAGAACGTGCTTTTTCGATTCTGACTTTGATTTCTGCCGTGTAGTCATTATTTTCTGTTATAAGTGTTCCTAGGTAAGTGTACTTTTTTACTCTTTCGATCTGCTGGCCCTCTACTATCAAGATTTCGTTAGTATTATAGTTGTTTTTACAAATTTTCATAAACTTCGTCTTTTTGACATTAAGAGAGAGTCCGTACTCCCTACTACACATGACTATTTTGCTCATGAGTCTTTCCAGGTCTTGTAAACTATCGGCTATTATTACTGTATCATCTGCATATCTGATGTTGTTAATTAAGACTCCATTTACTCTTATGCCGACTGTTTCATCTTCCAGAGTTTCTCGAATTACCTCTTCAGAATAGGCGTTAAATAATAGAGGTGATAGAATGCAGCCTTGCCTGACTCCTCTCTTTATTTCCATTTCTTCAGATGTTTCTTTTTCGATTCTTACTATTGCTCGCTGATTGTAATAGAGGTGTGTTATTAGCCTTAAATCTCTTTCATCTAGGTTTTTATTTTTTAGAATTTCCAGGAGTCGATCATGTTTTACTTTATCAAACGCTTTATTGTAGTCTATAAAACAGACGTAAAGAGGACGGTTAACATCCAAACATCTCTGTGTCAGCACATTGAAGGAGAATAATGCCTCTCTGGTACCCATACCATTGCGGAACCCATATTGAGTGTCACTAATATCCAGCTCCAGTTTAGAGTGTATTCTGGCGTGGATAATTTTCAAGAGAATTTTCAAGGTATGTGACATTAAGCTTATGGTTCGATAGTCACTACACTCTTTGGCATTCACTTTCTTTGGCAAACACACAAATGCTGATGTCAACATTTCTCTAGGAATGATTCCCGTAGTATAGATAGCGTTGAACAGTTCTACTATTATGTCCAGGTTTTTCTCGTTGACCAACTTTAGTAGCTCGCTTGGTAATTCATCTGGACCAGCAGATTTATTGGTTTTCATTGAGTTTAATGCCTGACTAACCTCTGATTTGGTTATCTCTGGACCTACATCTCCCGTTTGGCTATCTACAGATGTACTAGCTTCTCTCTGGTCATGAAATAATTCTTCGATGTACTCTTTCTATCGTCGTAGTTTTTGTTTCTGTTTCCAATATAATATTTCCATTTTTGTCGAGCAATATATTTGAGGTTCTTCTATTTCCTACTCCGGCTAGTTCTTTGACTTTTTTATGTAGGTTGAAGTTGTCATATCTGTTTTGAAGTTCTTCTATTTCTTTACATTTTTCAGAGAAGTAGGTCTCTTTAGCCTCCCTAATTTTTCTTCTTATTTGGTTTTGAAGCTGTTTATAGCGCGTCTTATTGATGGTTTTGTTTTTTCTCCTTTCATTCATCAATCTAGAATTTCCTCTGTCATCCATTCTTCTTTCTTATATTTAGTTGTTGTAAGTAGTTTCTTACTTGGCTCCAATATAGAGGTTTTTGAAGAATTGCCACTGTTGCTCTACGTTGCAGTTATTTCCTGGGTTTCTGTCTAGATTTGTGTTGATTTCGTGTTTCAGATTTTCTTTTGTTTCTTCTGACTTTAGTTTCTGTATGTTAAGTTTATTGTTATTGCGGCTTTTTTGTGTCTGTGTCTTTACTGCCTGAATTGAGTTTCGATATCTGTGTTTTATTAGGAAGTAATCAATTTGATTTCTGACGATTTTGTTGTCTTTGTCAGCTGGCGATTTCCATGTATAAAGGCGTCGCTTAGGTAGTTTAAAGAATGTATTTGCGGCTATAACATTGTGCTCCTGGCAAAATTCTATTAGGCGATCCCCTCTGTCGTTCGTCCTAACCTAACCTAACCTAACCTAACCTAACCCTTATACATATGTATAATTCACATCAAATACTTAAAATAGAAAACATGGTTACCACATACAGCGACGACAACAGCTGTTTTTGACTTACATTTTTGAAGTAAGTCTTTCGTAGCCAAATATTATTAAAATAACAAGTGGTGCAAAGTATGACTCTTCTAGGGTATACTTTGCAACACTAATAAAATTAGGATAATCTCTTAATTATGCAATATAACTAAAAAACAGCTATAATAAGAGCTATATTACGACCTGTTGAATAGATATTTATTACAAAAAGTTCAGATCTTCTTTCGAGTAACGTTATATCCATTCTAAGAAAATGAAACTAAAAACTATGGTGCAAAGTAACCCCGTTTTACGGTACAGCATTTTGATTTTTAGTTTCGTAATTTAAAATTTTTTATATTTTGTAACTAACTGAATTAAAAACTGGTTTAAAAATAGCTATAGTTTAAATTAACTCATCCTTTTAAGAATAATAATTAATTAAAATAAATTAAATACATTACCAGGCAAGGGAATCGACCAGAAATTTTGCAAAATTCCCTCGAAGAAGGATTTAAAAAGATTAACAATGTTAATAATCACGTTCACTATATCAGCTAAAAAAAAATAGATTTATTAAATAATTAAATATATATTGTCGATCAATAAGTCCCAAGCCTACAACCTTTACAACACTTTTCTAATTTTCGATGCCGGTCTTGTAAAACTTGGCCTTAAAAATAAGCTTCAGTTAGGCAGAAACTACTTAAGCAAAGAAATATCTCTTGATATAAAGCATTTTTAATGGAAAAGAAGGTGGTAGTGGTTGGGTGCCAAATCTTGACTAATATGGTGGGTCGTAAAGCAATTAATCGCGCAATTTGTGTATTTTTGTCATCGTTTTCATCGACTTGTTACAAGGTATATTATCGTATATAATAAGAGAGAAAATTTTGCTGGCAAGATTTTTGACTGATATGAAAGTTTGTTGCCCATTAATTTTATAAGCGAAAATTGCCAAAATTTAACAAACTTAAATAAAACTAGAAGAAAATTTTACCAGCAAATAATTTTCTCTCGAATGATATTCGACAAGACTATTTCAAGAGACAATTAAGACACCATATATATATATATATATATATATATATATATATATATATTATATATATATATATAATATATAAGGTTCTTGAACTCCTAAGTGGAGCATAGAGCTTCAGTGAAAACGCGCCATCGGGTTCTATTTTGCGCTAAGGCCTTCACCTCATTCCAAGACTTTCCTTGTTTTCTTATCTCGTCCATGATGGATCTTCTCCAAGTTTGTACTGGGCGACCTTTTTTTCGTTTTCCTTGGGGATTCCACTCTAGGGCAGTCTTTGCAATACTGGAGTTATTTTTTCGGAGTGTGTGACCGATCCAACATCACTTTCTGGACTTTATTTCATTTACTACCCTCTTTTGTTTGGTCAGGTGTAGTAAATCTTCGTTTCTGATGATGTTAGGCCAGAAAATACGAACAATTCTTCGTAGACATTTATTAACAAAGACCTGCAGTTTGTCTGTAAGGGTTTTTGTCGCTTTCCAGGTTTCACATCCGTAAAGTAGTACAGACATGACATTTGACTGGAATATGCGGATCTTTGTCCTCGTAGTGTAGTCTCCAGACCTCCAAACAGGGTTGAGCATGCTGAAAGCTTGTTGCGCTTTTCGTATCCTCATACGAATATCGTCTTCTGTACCTCCGCTTTCTGTTATGACACTTCCAAGATACGTAAAGTTTTCCACATTTTCAATCTGCATGTTATTAATGGTGAATAGCGTGTTGTTTCTTGCATTTATTCTCATGGATTTGGTTTTACCAATATTGATTTTCAAACCTATTTTATTGGCTTCAGTGGAAAGTGTTTCCAATTGGTCAGCCACATCTTGGAACCTTTGTCCTAACAGGCAGATATCGTCGGCGTATTCTAGATCGCTTAGGCGTGTGGTTAGCGTCCATTGTATCCCTCTTGTGTCAGAGTCTAGTTTGGAGAGAACATAGTCTAGAGCTATGTTAAAAAGAAACGGAGAGAAGCACGCATCCCTGTCTGACTCCAGTAAGTACGTCAAATTCGTCACTGTTGATCCCATTGTGTGTCACGCTGCATTTCGCTTCAGTGTACAGTAACTTTATAATGGAAATTATTTTATGCGGGATGTTTCTTAGCTCTAAAATTTTCCATATCGCATCATGAGATAAGCTGTCAAAAGCACGCTCGAAATCAACAAAAACCATGTATAGGGGTGTGTTCCATTCAACCGATTGTTCCATTATTAGCCTCACAGTATTAATGTGGTCTATGCAGGAGGATTCTGGTCTAAAGCCTACTTGATTAGCTCGAAATTCAACCTTGTTTGTTAATCTTTTAAGTATGATGGTCGTGAAGATTTTATTTATGGCGGTAAGCAAGGTTATTCCTCTCCAATTTTTGCATAGTGTGAGGTTGCCCTTTTTTGGACACCATAGTAACGACATAATCTTTATTTATTTGTTAACAATATTAGATGTACAATTTTATAAGCTATAGTAGTTTGCCCAATCTTTTCTGTCAAAGTCCTGTCTCAATCTGCCTACTCCCCTCACTCTAAACGTACCAGTATCGAGCATTCAAAAACATCTAAACCCCATTCCACCCAAAACAGAAACCTTGCCGCCGGATCAACCCAAAATCTTTCTACCTTTTATTAAAGGTGTCACTGACAAAATCAGTAGAACTCTTCTTCCTTTAAACATCAAAACCATCTTCACTACTCACTCCAAGTTGTCCAATCTCGTCAGATCCGTAAAAGATCAAATCCCTAATGAAGACCATGGTGTCTACGAGATACCTTGTTCCAGTTGAACACGTTCATACATCGGACAGACAAACCGACGAATCCATAACCGTATTTACGAACATTCTATATCAGTCAAACATTCCGATACTACTTCAGCCCTAGCCCAACATCATATTCAAGCAGGCCACAAAATAGATTTTGAAAAAGCAAAAACCTTCGCCCCTCTCTTTGCTAAGAGACTCCATTCGCTCCTTAAAATCAAGAATCATTCGTGAAGCTATCGAAATCGAAAAACGGCCTAACAGCTTAAATACGCGCGATGACGCGAAACGATTGCCGGCAACATGGCGACCCCTGCTTCAGCGACTTCTAGCCCACACCGCTCAGGCCACGTCAGTTCAGACCACGTCAGCCCATACCGTTCCGCGCGTACAGCGAGTATAAAAGCAGCGACACAGGGTAAGACCGGTTGTCACTCGACACTGAGGAGTAGGCAGATTGAGACCTCAGTGCCGAGAGACAGTTCTTGTATTTATAATACAAAACACGATACTGGTACGTCTCGAGTGAGGGGAGTAGGCAAATTGAGACCCCGAACTCGAACCGAACCGTATCCCTCTTGATAATGGCTCCAAAATGGGAGCCCAAAACGTCGAGCATTAAATTCTCAACGCGGTTCTTCCCGAGAACCTAGTGATTTTCATTCATCTGACCGCGGATAAAAAACACTTTATTTAAAAAATAATGTACTTTTCTTATGCTTTACGGCCAGTTCTTTTGGAGTCATATACCACGCCACGTTGTTAGTATCGTAACCCTACTTTCACGTTGTTATTCTAGGGTTAAGTAACGGTTAAATCCATCACTTATCAAACTAGAATCTTACTTACCTAGATCAAAATAGGGTATAAATGGCAACTTCGGTATTTGAAGATTTGCAAAAATATTTTGAATCTGGTTTATAAATGTAAATATTGAATAGGCACCATCGTCTATGCCATTAAGAGAGGCTATAAGTATATTTATATATGCTAAAAAATAAAAATTGTTAGACAACGAAATATTGTTTAATCATTTAACTAAATGGATGTAGATATAGAACAGGGAACCAACCACCAAATTTTGAAATATTAGTTTCTGTCGTTAAAAATAGATTTACACAATACCCCTGCACCAAGCTCCAGAACCACACTTTAGTGATTTGAATCTGAAAGTTTATAATACTGTCGCGTGGAAAAAAATATTAAATCTTTTAAAAGCCTCTAAAGGACCGTACGACCATCCAATGCATATAATAAATAGCAGTAAGTTTACAAATTATTTTTATATGGATTTTATAACCTCAAATATGTTACGTGTTCCTTTTTCAATAATGAATTTAAGTGAAATGTGGGGTTTGATACTTATTATTGTTGTTTGGTTCCATGTCCTAAAATGTCTAGTAGAAATAATATGGATTCTTTTCCTATTGGTTCTTTGTTCAGAAATATGATATTTATGGATTCTAAAGTGATGTGCACATAGGTACCTAGATGTTTTCGTATTTTGCTAAGATATTTTTTAAGTAGGATTTGCACGAACAGTCAGTTACACAAATGGTAAGCAAAATGGCCTGGACGCTGACGGAGACGCTAACGAGAAAACTAGAAGCATTCGAAATGTGGGTGTACCGACGCATTCTTCGTATATCCTGGATCGAACATGTCACTAACATAGAGGTACTTCAAAGAATCGGAAAGGAGAAAGAAATCGTGAATACAATTAAACAAAGAAAGCTTGAATATCTAGGCCACATATTGAGACACGATAAGTACCGTCTGCTACAATTGATTGTCCAGGGAAAAATAGACAGTAAGCGAGGGCCAGGCAGGAGAAGACACTCGTGGCTCCAAAATCTGCGGAAGTGGTTCGGGCTCACATTCGGTCGAACTATTCAGAAGCGCCGCAAACAAGATCAAAATTGCCATGTTAATAGCCAACGTTCGCAACGGACAGGGCACTTGAAGAAGAAGAAGAAGCAAAATGGTGCATGTGAGGGCAATAGTACAGCGAGGCTCATAATACAACTATGGAAGGCTGGAACACCGATTTATCTGAGGAGAGTGACTTTGACGACAATATTGCAGATCCTGATTTTCAAAATGATGAAGCCTCATATCCAGAGAGTACCGATGATTCATCAGACAGCAGTGCAAATACGGGACACGATTCTAGCAACAAAAGTTATGCTCAACAAGTAAACCAAATCACCAGGAATTGATCAAAATTGCAGTGAGCTCTACAAGAATGGTGGCGATTCCCTACTACAGACACTGCATAAGCTTTTACTTCTTGTTTGGCATAATGAGACCATGCCTTGTGAATGGTCTCAAGGCGTGATATGCCCGTTACATAAAAAAGGTGACCAGCTCCAGTGTGACAACTATAGAGGTATAACCCTGTAAACAACTGCTTACAAAATACTAGCAAATATTCTCTACGAAAGACTGCAAGTTTACACAGTGGGCATAGTTGGTAAATATCAAGCTGGATTCACTCCAGAAAAATCAACAATTGACCAGATTCATTCAATAAGACAGATTCTCGAGACAACATTAGAATTCAATATTGAAACCCATCACCTATTCGTCGACTTCAAGGCCGCATACGACAGTGTCAAGAGAACAGTGCTATACCAATCAATGCACGAGTTTGATATACCAGAGAAACTTATCCGACTATCGAGAATGACAATGTCTAACTTAGAAGCCACTGTTAGAATACATAGAGAGAATTCTAGATCCTTTGAGATAAGGGGATGCTATGGCTTGCCTCCTATTTAATATTGCCTTAGAAAAGGCAGTCCGAGATACACGAATTAGGGAGGGCGGTACTATTTACAATAGATCGATACAAGTCTTAGCACATGCTGATGACATTGACATAATAGAGCGTAGCAAGCGAGATGTTGTCACTATTAATTAAATAAATTACGTATTGTTTAATGCTTGTATCCCCACATTAGTGGGTGGTCCTTCGATTTAGAATTGTAAAACAAATCTTCCGTTTATTTCTACCAATAATCAATAAATGAGACTTAATCCCAGATAAACATATTATTGAAATTTTTATTAATGTGTACTTACTCTTTTTGAAAATTTCGAATATGCTCTTGAAGTAATTAGTAAATATTTCTGTAAAAAATAACTCTAAATTAGTGAAATTAATAAAATTAATAATAACATCGTAATTAATAAACCACACAAATCATAACAAAACCACTGAAATTAAATTACCTATATCCTTGGGTATAGTTGGAAATGATTCCAAAAACTGTCGACTTATATCAATAAGGCCGTCTCCAAGCACTAAAAATGTTTTGACAATACCCTCCCATAAGTCTCCTGAAAAATTAATTTAGCTACATTATTAGTGTATAAATGATTTTCTCTTTTTTATATTTAAAAATAAAAACAATAATTTATAATAGATAATATAAAGTTGTAGACGACAAACAGAACTTCCAAAATAGTAATTTCATAGTACATGTCTTATGTGTTAGACGGTTGGTTATAATTTTAGTTAGTAATTTATACAGATGTGATAGCAAGGATATTGGTCGGTAATTCTCGATGTTTGCCTTTGTCTCCTTTCTTGAATAGTAAAAGACTTCGCAGTGGTACTCTTGAGGAATCTTTCCTTAATTAATTAGTTTGTTAAAAAAATATTTAATACCTGTTTCATTTTTCTGCCATCAATTTTCAACATTTCAACTGTAATTTTATCCTCTCCCGGAGATTTATTCGTTTTTAGTTGATTTTTGGTCATTCTCATTTGATAGTCGGTTATGCCCGGTATTTCTTCTGAGCCGGTGTTAATTATTCTTCGTTCAGTAGGTCGTTGTTGTGGTTGTGTATTTACCGAGTATAATCTAGTGTAGAATTTTTCAATGGCCTCGCTTATTCTGTCTCGGACGGTGAGGTTTTTCTCATTTTTTTGTTTCTATGATTTTTGTTATGCCGCTTGAGTTTTTTGCTTTCAGTACTTTCATATTGCAGTTATCTTGTATTATATCTTTTATTAGATTGTTAGTATAGTTTTTATGATCGTTCCTAATTTTTTCGTCACGTTTTTGTTTAAACTTATGAAGCTGTCAGAAGTTCGATCTGTTCTGTTTCGTCTTTCTTGAAGTAGTTTAATTGTATTAGGTTGGAGTTTAGATATTTTGGCTGTTTTCGTGTTTGAGCATATTTTCTTAACCGATGTTGTTAAAGTTACTTTTGTTTTATTGCTAGTCCATTAATATCCGTTTGTTTCAGTGTCTCTATTGATTTTAGTCTAATGTTTAGCTATTTTTGGTATTCCGTTTGTTTTTGAAAGCGCCTGGTATACAATCCGTACCTAAAACTACGTTACCGAAACTGTGATTTTTCCCCATACCACATTACCGGCCGAGAATTGATAAAAATATGTACAAGCTGTTATAATTAAAGAGTTCCATTTTAGTCTAAATTAAAATATGGTTAAATTTAGTTACCTATAGATTGAATCGGTTTCAGTGGTGATGATGCAATTGTCTCATGTGTTATAATATATATCAAATGTTCAAATGCTTTTGAAAAGAAACTGGCAACCTCCTCCATACTGGTAGAGACATCTTTGATAAAATCTGCATACAAAATGAATAAGATATTAAATTTATTAAATATTAAATTTATAATTTATTTATATAAAATATACAGGGTGAGTCATGAGGAACTTTACATACTTCTACCATATGTAGAGTCCCTCAGGGAGCATATCATGTGGCCACTAAAAAATGTCAACTCCTCTTCTTTATTAATTAACAGGGTGATTTGTGTAATTGATCATTTATTTCATTTTACTGTAGTGTTTATACGGCTCATTTGATTTTTTTAATTTTTGCATGATACAGTACACTACTATCAAGCATTCGACTGGTATTAGCTAAACTAAAAAATTCCAGGACTGGCTTTGAAAAAATTAATTTAGGGATTCGTATTAAATATTACACCCTGTATATATATTTTTTTAATGCAATAAGTGATTTTCAAACTACATAAATAGCCAATGAAAACGACATATGCGACAATGTTGTCGCACTTTTATTAAATTTTTAGTGAACGATCAAATCTTACCAAAAATAGAACAACCAGAATAAATAATTTTAGTAAGCTAACACTTTTCTTGAATATAACATTAGCATGCTTTAGACAATAATAAATAAATTAACTAGCATAATACACTTACCTACTATTATTGTATAAAATGGTTTAAATATATTATTGTCCAGTAAATTCTTAGCAACATACTTTAAGGTTAGAAACAGTGATCTCCAAAAGCCAAAAAGTGTATCAACTATTCCTTTAAAGAGATCTGAAACAGAAAAAATACTCTTTATATAAAATTAAATCGAAATACAGGGAAATACATAAATTAAATAACGCATTCCGGGGACAAAAATAAATTTATTGATTCCAACTTACCCTAGTACAAAAGTGTACACAAAAAAGTTACAGCCCTTTGAAGTTAGAAAATAAAAATTGTTTTTTTTTTTGTTAAACTACTTGACATTTTGTAATAAAAATGGACACGTTACTTTTTTGTTCTGAAAGCATTTTTCATAAAAAAGAAACAACAAAATCTAAGCACACAGAAAAAATTTAAGGTGGTGTGCAGCCCTAAATACCCCTAAACTCTTGAATACGTTCAAATCAAATGAACCTTGTGACATTATTAGTTTAACTTAATTATTATTTAACTGGGAATAAGCCACAATTAAAGATAAAAATACACGTTTCAATTTCCACTTCGGAAATCGTTCTCAAAATACAAACAGTAAATTAAACAAATTAAATTAAAAGTAAATTAAACAAATTTTGTTTTTTGTTACATAGTGAAAAATAAATAAATAAAATGTGTGAATATCTGAATTACTAATTTTTGGGGGATGGCAATATAATTTTTTTCATTTATATCGCACAATATTGTCTAATCTTTCAACAGCCTACCATTAGTACAAATGTTCGAAATGTAATGTGATGGACAATAAATTGATTGGTTGACTTACCTGTTAAGGAAGGACAATCATCATTGTCCTATCTTACATTTGTACGCTCCCCATCCCATTTATTCTTTAGAACCCACCCATTTATTGTGCGATCAAAAAAAAACAGTGATTCGCGCCTCGCGCATAGTCACCCGTCAATGTCAAGAAGCTAAACATCTTTTTTTTTTTTAGAAGGTAAACTAAATGCACGAACAAATACTTACCATCTCGGGATAGTATTATGAGGTTTTTTTCCTGGTTTTTCCATCATAATTTACTATGGAATCACTAACAGGAGAATTTTACTGTCATCATGTCATGTGTTTGTCTTTTTAAAGACGAATTACATGCTATGATTTTTTTCTGATGGATATTCTCAAGTTAAAGTTGATTTCATGTAATCGAATGAACTATCTTATAAGTAAAGTCGTCCCAGGAGCGCAACTCAACAATATTGGCAATATCATTTTAAAGTCGTCTACTTTAAAATGCATAATGTATGTCTGAATTGTCAATATAAATGTGTCAGATAAAATTAAATTATTAGCAGAATTTTTCACTTGCTACCAAAAAACAAAATTTGTTTAATTTACTGTTTGTATATTGAGAACGATTTCCGAAGTGGAAATTGAAACGTCAATAAACGTATTTTATCTTTAATTGTGGCTTATTCCCAGTTAAATAGTAATTAATTAAAAATGCCACAAGAAAATAGCTTCAGAACAATATTAGTTTAACAAATTATTTTTAAAACTTTTTTGCCTCATAACATTTTCGAAAAATTAGTTTTTTCCTTTTCCTATTAGTTTTGATATTAGAATCGCCTGCACATTTCAGGAAATGGCAGATATGCATTTAAATTTGGGTAAGTTGGATCAGATGAAATTATGATTTCAATAAACTGTCGGGAATATCGTAGGTGAATGATATAATATATGCCGGCCAGCCAGAAAACTAAATATATGCCGGCCATATCAAGAATTTAACAAAATAACTTAGAGGTGCAACACGAAACGATAGAAATGGTAGAAGAATTTTGCTACTTAGGATCACTGGTAGACTACAAAAATAACACATTAAACGAGATAAAAAAAGAATATTCGTGGCTAACCGCTGTTATTTTGGCTCTGGCCCTCAACTAAGAGCGAGAAGTATGTCAATAGCAACAAAGTGCAAACTTTATAAAACAATAATTCGCCCAGTGCTCACATACGGATTGGAAACATGGGCAATGACGACCCGAGATGAAGATTACTACGAGTCTTTGAAAGAAAAGTATTGAGGATCATATATGGCGGCGTAAACGAACAGGGTCTGTGGAGAAGAGGATATGACTTTGAACTCTATAGACTTTTTGGTGATGCAGATATTGTGAAGACCATCAAAATAAACCGCCTAAGGTGGGTGGGCCACGTTATGCGGATGGATGAGAGTGATCCAACTAAAATAACTATGCTAAACAGGCCGGTCGGAAGAAGAAGAAGGAGGCGACCTAAACTCAGATATCTGGACGATGTACAGGAAGATCTGAGGGAGATTGGAGTGAGGGGCTGGAGAAGACAGACACTCGATAGGGAAGGATGGAAGAATGTTTTGAAGCAGGTCAAGGCTCACAAAGGGCTGTAGCGCCAACTGATGATGATGATAAGAGGCAAAAATATTTTTTAAATAATGTGTAAATTTATTTGATTTAAACGTACTCAAAAGTTTAGGGGGATTTAGAGCTGCAAACCCCCTAATTTTTTTTCTGTGCTCTTAGATTTTATTGTTTCTGTTTTATGAAAAATGCTTTCAGAACAAGAAAGTAACTTGTCCATTTTTATTACAAAATGTCAAATAGTTAAGGAGATAATGCAAAAAAAACAATTTTTATTTTGTAACTTCAAAGGGCTGTAACTTTTTTTGTGTACACTTTTGTACTAAGGTAAGTTGGATTCAATCAATTTATTTTTGTCCCCAGAATGCGTGATTTAATTATGACATACCTTTTTGAAACACTCTGTGTAGTAAGGGATTGTGTAGTCATTATATATAAATATAAATATACTCTAAATGCCGAGATGCTTAGACACCTCTTGTTAGCTGGGAGATATAAAGAAAGTGTAATGCAATTGTACACTATTTTATATTGATATTAGAGCAAAGTCTGATAGTAAAATACACATCCGAGTTAAAAATTTAAACTAAAATTTATCTGTGTTATTACTTACCCACAATTGATCCCAGAGAACCTTAAATCATAAAATGGTATTAGTATTTTTTTAAAAACTTAATAATTAATTGTTAATATATTTATTCATGCTTTATTTATAATGCAAGACGCTTTATTTAGTACTTTTTGACAAAAAATTTTAATATTCTTCAACGTCAAAGTTGCTAATATTTACAAAGCATCAGCCATACTCTGGCCTGCCCATATTATCTGCAACCGCATCACCTGGCAATATATGCTTACAACAGCAACATTGAGCAATGGGAGTACAAAACTGCGACGCAAACGGGAATACACTAGTTAAGTAGGCATAGGTGAAAAACCTCTCACTTTTTTTTGATACCAAGGTTTGTTTTACATTTAAATCACGCTTTGGTTTCGAAAGATAACAACAATCCCTAGCAGTTTCAGAAAGAGTCCTTTTCCAACAGTCAACACTGTTCAGTTAAAGTTGAAAAAAGTACAAAAATACGACGTATTACTTCAATTTCACGATCAAGGTTAAATCTCAAAAGAGCCAATTGGAACAAATTCTTCATACAACTAGATAAATGAAGGGTCAAGGAGAAAAACGATTTTAGTCCAAAAAATTTTGGCGCTATTATTATAGTTCAGTGCCGTCTCTTGCAACCACGAAAAACACTACTAAATAAAAATGTTTTCAGTTCGATGTAATAGAGGAAGCAAGACACGGCATAAGTGGGAAAAATGATGTAAGTCCCAGCGCGCAGATGAAAGAACGATCAGAGTCCTAAGAATATGGTGGTGGACGCAGCACAGTTAGGTAGCAATTATTATTCTCAATTTATATTATTTCACTATCACTACTGTGTCAGTAACCAATGTAGTAGTGTCTGAGGGCTCGGAAGCCCTGAGGAAGACATCAGAGAGGATGTCGCAAGTTCGGGCGAATGGATATCGACGCGCTTCAACCCGGAAGACTGGTGAGTTTAATATTAATTTTTGTAATAGTATTTTTAAGTAAACAAATATTATACTCACTTCTAAAGTCCAAAACTAATTGGAGAAAATTCTCAGCTAGATGTGCGAATTCAGCTGGAACGTAAAAAAATAATTACAATACAATATGTCTTATTTCTGCATAAAAATTATACAAAGTGTACTTAAAATTTAAATTTAAAGTACCTTTTGTACGTAGCTTGTAGGTATTGTACAAACGGAATTCGGTCAGAATGCGCAGACATTATTATTTAACCAAGTTACATTCATCGGTCACTTAAATTTCCTCTCTCTGATGATAATTTTAATACAGAACTTAATACTCTTAAGCAGATTGCTTTCAATAATGGCTATGATCCCAACATTATATACAAACTTCTAAATAGAGCTAAACTAAAAATTGCAGAAAAGCTTGCATATTCTTCACAGTTTTTCCAACCGAATGCTTCAGATAACATCAGATATTTCTCCTTCACTTATATTAGTAGCATTTCCAATAAAATATCTAAACTTTTTTCTTCTACAATTGATAACATCAAAATTTCCTTTAAATCACATAACACTTTAGGTTCCTTCTTAATCAATACCAAAGATAGGATGAATACACTTGATAAAAGTGGTATTTACAAATTAAAATGTGATGATTGTGATGCCTCTTATGTAGGTAGAACCATCAGAAAGTTATCCACTAGAGTCTCTGAACATTTGAAAAGACCAAATTCTTCAAGTTTTGGTCAACACTTAGTATCCAGCAACCACAATTTTAACATCAATTCTGGTTCATCTATCTTACATGACATTAGCAGAAAGAAAAACTATCTTGAGTTGGATTTATTGGAAGATTTGGAGATTACAAGGGAAACAAATGAAAACTCTCACTGTCTTAATACTCAAATTAATTTAAATTGTACTAAATTTAATCCTATATTTAAAAACTTTATTACAGCTTCACCTCGTAGAGGACCCAGCTCGACTGTTTAGACTTCATGCACTGAGCATTTCAATATTAATTTTAAAGTTCTTCCATTGACTGTGGATTCAACTGAACTACGTGGACTATAACACATTTATATATTTTGTCTTCAATTTTGATTTTAACTTTTAGTAATTTAACTGCATATTCAGATTTTTCTTTTTTACAGTACTGATAGCGCTTGGTGGACCATTTTATTGTAGTCAACCATCCACTGTCTAATATATTGTTAGTCTTTTCTCACATTCATACTTTATGTCAACTTCAATTGCTCTCAAACCAACATCCTAATTATTATAGACAGGTTTGAGTGTGAGATTGGATTATTCAATCTACATAAAAAATATACTATATAATTTTATATTTCATCAGTCGATTTCCTATAGTGGTGTCAGTTGGACCTTTGGTCAATACTTAGTGTCATAGAATTTTGAAAGGTGCAGATCACATAACTGCCCTTCACAAGCTGTCATTTGTCACATGTCATCTCTACATTTCCGTCAGACCGGGAGCCCATTCTGTCTCCGGCTTCTATACAATATGTAGCTTCTCCTTATAAATTTTAAAGTGTTTGTTTGTCTTAGTGTATTGTATTTTGTATTGTTATGTCCAAATTTTACATTTATGACATTCTACTATGTCGGATAGGCCACAACTGACGAAGTAAGTCTATAAACGTTTATCACATATAAAAATTTTTTTCAACCATAAACTTGGAGTTTTTTATCCAAGTGAATTAATTTTCCTTTTTATAAAAAACGTTTCTTGGCTTATTTCAGATGCCCCTGAAGATGATCTATTGATCGAAAGTACTTGGGCAAGATTAAATTAATCACCGTGTTCGATAGTTGCCTTGTATACTCTCAAAAAAAAAATATTATTTAAGTTATTAATCCCTGAGATATATTACCGATAACAGCGATAAATGGAAATATAACGATGTATGGATAATGGAAAAAAGTTTGGCATGAACATGGTATAAATCAAAAAAATTTAATTATGAATTTATTGAGAATTTTAGAAGTATAGTCCGTCTAGTATACGGAAAAAAGAAAGCAAAATTATAATTTTACGACATTTATTTCTATCACTTGAAATATAAAATTTCAACAAATAATTCATCTCATTTACTTATACAACCTCCATTTAAATCTAAACACCTAACTAAACGTCCAGGTACACCCAAAACTAGGTCAAGGCCATAATTTTCGGTAATGGTGTTCCAGACCTGTAAAACTAACCGAATCAAACCTTCTTTATCTCGTGGCGCTGCTAGTTCCTCTTCAATCTTCATCAGTCCCCATATCATTTCAATGGGGCTAAGATCTGGAGATGCTGCTGACCACGGAATTGTTGCCAATTCGTGTTCTTGTATCCAAGCTTGAGTATAAGCAGAAGTATGGCATCTTGCATTATCTTGCTGAAAACGCCACCCCTCTGGATATAAAACATGAGCCGTTTCAAGAAGAAAACCATTTAGGATGTCACAATATTTCGCACTATCAACAGTACCATTAACTATACAGAGAGGTGTAGCACCACGCTGAGATATTGCTCCCCAAATCATTATTTTAGTGGGAAATTTGGAAATTTGAACGGTAACATTTTCTCTTGATAGGACTTTTAGATGATTTGCAGCAAGCTGGAAACAACTTTCATCAGATATAAAGACGTTATTAAAATTATCTTCTCGAAAACGTTGACAAAAATCTATTCTTCGTTGTCTTTGCAGAGGTGTCATTGTAGGGATTTTTTTTGGATTCCTTGATATGTAGCCTTGCTTTTTCAGTGACATAGTGGTTATAGTGGTTGACATATTGGTTATAATAATATGAATTTATTGAAATAGCTGTTTAAGTTTAATACTGCACAAAATAATAAATATAATTAAATAAATTAGATAATATGCGCCACTGATACGGAAATACTTAAAATTTCAATGACAGTTCAGCGTTTGGCAAAATCGTTTAAAGGTTACCGCTTTTTTAGAGTTTTGATAATGTTTTGATTTTTTACACAATTTGATTCACAATATATTATGTATTAATAGATTGTATTTATAACTACATATTAAATTTAACTTAATAGCTTAAAAAATTAATTATTGTTGTATAGTGTGATTGTGTCATGCCAAAAACAACTGAATAGTCTGTAGATAGCTGAAAAGATTTAATAGAATGTTTTGAACAAGAAATTATGGCGGGACGTTTTTACTATTAAATGTTCTAAAAAATGTAAGTTAAACGATTAAGAATATATAATTTTGTATTAAAATGTTTTCCCAGCGTATTTTATAGTTTATTTTTTATGAACGAGAGAGTAATTAGCATAATTTTAACTGGTACCTCCGACCACTCCATGGGCGTGCTCAAGATTAATTGAAAAATTACTTTGAATAATTGTAAAAAATAAATGAATTATTTCAGTGTTATAAAGTGTTATGTGTATGTAAACAAAAGTGACCTCTTTTATCACACACTATATTAGAACTGACTGGCCTACATTAAAAAGGGTTTTAAAAAATTCACATTTTTTTTTAATTTTTAAAAATTACAAAAGAGAAAAAGAGTTTTTAAAACCGTCTAAGGTATGTTAAATAGATGAATAAAAATATTAATATAAAACTTACAGCTACTTGTTACAAATCCAAATCAGATTCAGAAGATGAACTTTCAGAACCAAGATTTATAATAACTGGCTCGATCATTTTATCAGTAATATTGTCCAGCTTCCACATTTTTTCCTCTTCTTTAATAGTGTGATTTACTGCCTTTTCCCAGTTTTCAGGTTTTACATTATTTACGGCCTCCAAAAACAACTGTTTAACATCATGAATTTTAAAAGTGGTATTTTTTCTTGAAACTTCACTCTTTATCTGTGCCCATACCAGTTCAATCGGGTTTAATTCACAATGATATGGTGGGGATCTAAGTACTGTCATTCCACGATTTTTGGCAATTTCATCAATTTCGTATTTTTTAAATTTTTCTTTATGAAGGGCACACAACGAATAAAGTTCCTTTCTTATAGATCCGGGATGGTACGTAATATTTTTTGAACTCAGCCAATTCTGCAAGTCTTTTTTTAACCACTTGGTTGTGGGCAGTCCTTCTATAAGTCTGGAGTGATAACTTGCATTATCCATTACTATTACACAGTTCTTAGGAAGAAGATCTATCATTTGTTCGAACCATTCTTGAAAGACATCAGCGTTCATGTCTTCATGGTAGTCACCGGTACGAGTTGATTCAAAAGTTAATAAACCACCTTCAACAAAACCGTCTGAACTGCCAATGTGTACTATTATCAGCCTGCGTCCCTTTCCTGATGGTGGGTTTAAACCAGTAGATAAGTTATTTACAAAAGCGTGCCTTTGACTTGTAACAGTTTCATCCTGCCAAAATTTATTTGGTGTATGACCCTCGTTGATCCATGTTTCATCAAGATAAAATATTTTTCTTTTTTGGTTTCTCATTTCCTTTATGGTTCTTAGAAAATGTCTTCTCCATATGACAATATCGCTTCTTTCTAATAAAATAGACTTTCTGGGATTCTTTTTCCAGCGGAAGCCTATTTCTTTTAAAAGTTTCCATAACGTACTTCGACTCATTTCTGGGTAATCCTTATCATCTCGAACTGAGACAAGAACTTTATCCAATGTTGGAAATTCTTGTCTAAAGAAGAATTCATGCACTTTCCGTCGAAGTCCTTCTTTAAAATGATATTCTATTTGAAATTTTGGTTTCCCTGGAGCATTACGTGGCATTTGAAAACTACCACATTTCTCTTCTTTAATAACTCTGTAAATCGTAGATTTCCCAACACCAAGTGTACTGCTAACTAACTCAACGGTCTCATCAACACTTTCACATAAACGTTTGTCTGTAAATGATTTAAAACAATTAAATATTAATGTTTTTTCATTAACTGTTAAAGGACCAATTTTTCGGCGTTTACACGGCACTTCCAAATTTTCCATAACACTAGTATACACAATAAACTGCACCTTGCAACTGAAGTACCTACTTTTAGTGAACTGTTAAGAATTTTGAATACGCCACTTGGACCTTCCTACAAAATGGAAAAACCCACTATCACATTTTCTGTGGAATAAGTTTAGAAGGTAATTATCTAGTCAATTACTGTCGTAGATTCCTGGAATTAAAGAATTAAATGTTTGATTGTTGAAACCCTTACTTCGTGGAATGCACTCATTTCAGATAAAATAAAACGTTTTATTTTATCTAAAGAATTAAACTTTATTTTGCAAATAGGTAGGTACTTATTAAACTTTTATTGGTTATATATAACCAATAAAATAAACATCTTACATTTCTTGCAAATTCATTAGTACCTGTTAACCTCCATCACTCCGACACTGGCAACCTTATTTAGGGATTAGTAACCCTCACAACTATTGTATTCTATTCTGCTCCAACCTTTATACCTGGTGGTCATACTCAATTTAAAATTGTTTTCCTATATACTTCTGTAAACTTGTTGACAAATATCTGTTTTTCATTGAGTCACCCGTATCAACAGTTTAGGGATTTGCATACATAATTTATTGTTTTATTACTCTCTCATACATAAAAATACACTATAGTGTGTTGCAGTAGTCTTAAAACTAAGTGTAGCTATTGTTAACAATACTTTTAAAGCTGTTAAAAATAATGAACTTTTAAAATCATCTCATAAAAAATGGTATTACAAAAGACAAACTCATACAGAAGAGTTGAATGTTAGTGGTATTCGTGATTTTATTTACGTTATGTAGAAAACAAGTAAGAACTTTGTCAAATTACCAAATAAAGACAAAATCATTGTTTACAAGGAATGTTTATTAAATCATAGTGTTTTCTTTGTAGAAAAACATGTCACTTTAAAATTATCAAGAGACAACTTGGTTAAGAAGCGAATGTTCGATGGTTCCAATACGTCATTATGGAGGATATTAAACGAATTGGATTTTAGATGAAAAAGAGTTATGTCAATGCATAATATTGCAGTAAAGTGAACTTTATTTTAAGAAATGATATTAATCTCACCAATTTCGTTAGAAACATGGGACATGTACTTCAGGAAACTGATACAAGAAGACCGAATGGAATTCAAAATAAAAGAAAGTAACCAAAACATACGCGTTGAAGCATCTCATATAAGAATCACGAAAAAGGAAGTAAGGGATATCTGTATTTCACTCAAAAACAAAAAAGCGCCCGGACCTGGCAATATACCCTCAGAACTGATAAAATATGGAACTGAAAAACTATATGAGCATTTGACAATACTCTTTCAAAACTGCATAAACAAAGTAGCCAAGGTTCCAGCCGAATTTAAAACCTCAACCATTTCAACTTTACATAAAAATGGAAACAAACAAAATTGCGACAATTACCGTGGAATAGCAGTTACTAGTACCATTAGTAAAATCTATGGGAAAATGATCAAAAATAGAATAGAAAGAGAATACACTGATATGGAGGCAGAAGAACAGGCGGGTTTTAGAGCTGGTAGATCGACCATAGACCACCTTTTTTGTATCACCCAACTTATAGAAAAAAAGGTTGCTGTAGATCAAGAAGTCCACTTTTTGTTTGTTGATCTAAAAAAGGCCTACGATAGCATCCCTCAAAATAAGTTATGGAACACTCTCAGACAAACGAACATCAACTCAAATCTCATAACAGCAGTGGAAAAACTATATGAGAACGCCAACGCCAAAGTTAAAATAGGAACGAATGTTTCCAAAGGTTTTGTAGTAGACAAAGGACTGAAGCAGGGATGCTGCTTAGCGCCGACACTTTTCAAAATATATCTGGAACAAGCATTAAAACTCTGGAAGCGGAAATGCAGCGGCATGGGTATACAATTAAACAATAACAACCTGTACACTCTATGTTTTGCTGATGATCAAATTGTGATTGCTAACGAATATGACGACCTAGAATACATGACTCGAAAATTAATCGAAGAATACAAAAAATGGGGATTAGAAGTCAACATAGATAAAACAATGTACATGAACATCGGTGGTAAAGAACAAAATCTAGTTTTAAACGACGGACAACACATTAAGTACAACAATAAATATTCCTATTTAGGAGTAGAAATCACAGACGACGGCAAATCAGATCAGGCTATAAAAAAACGAAACACTCAGGGTAGAAGGGCCATATCTCAACTAAATAGTATTATCTGGGATCAACATATATCCAAAAAAAATAAACATCGAATATACAACACTATTATAAAGAGCATAGTAATGTATGGAAGTGACGTGTGGCAGTTAAAGGCAACTACTGAAAGAACACTACAAGCCACGGAGATGGACTACTGGAGACGGGCCGCAGGAAAATCAAAACTCGAAAGAATTAATAACGAACGTATACGAGAGGTTATGGGAGTCACACATACGATTGTCGAAGATATAAGAGTACAACAACTAAAGTGGTATGGACATGTGCAGAGAATGCCAGAACATCGTCTGCCCAAACAGATTATAGATTGGTCACCACATGGAAAGAGAAAAAGAGGCCGACCCAGAAAGAGCTGGAGAGAAGGAATAGACAGAGAGATCCGAGAGAGAGGTTTAGACGAAGATCTTTGGGAAGATAGAGATGCATGGAGATTGGGCATCGGAAGACGTCGGAGGACGTTTTAAACCGATTATATATATATATATATATATATATATATTATATATATATATATATATATATATATATATATTGCAGAGAAAATTTTGTATAAGTTTTTGTATAATTTTTTTTTTTTTTTTTGATGAAACATGGATCTTCCAAAATGGAAAAATATGTCGTTGGTATCAAAATAAAGACAACGGAAGTATCAAAACCACAAAAACAGATGGTAGAAGGTTAGTTACATTAGTCAATTCGTTAATTATATTATTATTGTTAGGTATTTGTATTGGGTTTATTAAGTTTATAAAATCTTTCAGTTTTTTTTCCTCATTTACAATATTTTAAAAATCAAAAAATTCCTCACATTAATTACACTCATGTTTTGGCAACGCTGCACTCATGCACTCATTTTTATCTGAAAAATTCTTATATAGCACATGTTACGCTAGAATTTTACTATTATAGGTAAAAATAATTTAAGTAAAAATTAAAAACATCAATGCATACTTAATTACTATTTCATAATAAATGAAATACATTACCTGGTAAAGAAAGTGACCAAAACTTTTCAACAATGCCTTCGAATTGGGATATAATTTGGTATAAGATATCAAAACCTTTTTCGTAAACTGTCTTAATGGCATTCTCTAAAAAATTTTTAAATTTATAACAAAAATATTTAAATAAATTTGATAATATTTTTTATTATATCAGTGTTTTTTACATTCATTACAAGTAACAAAAAATCTGCTTACAACAAAATGTATCTATTTAAATAGTAGCAATTTTAACACGTTAACTGTTTTACCATGATTTGGAACAAGTCTTAAAATCAATGAAAAAACATCACACTACAATAGTAATGGGCGACTTCAATGCCAAAATTGGCCAGGGAAGAGTGGATGGATATGTGGGGGAATATGGTCTAGGAAATAGAAATGAACGTGGTGACCGTTTGATACAATTTTGCCAGACGGAAGAATTTGTAATAGCTAATACACTTTTTAAGCTACCAAAAAGAAGGTTGTATACATGGAAATCTCCCGGTGATACAACGAATAGAATAATCCGAAATCAAATTGACTTTGTCCTTATTAGACAAAGATTTCGTAATTCTATACTGTCTGCCAAAACTTACCCTGGAGCAGACATCGGTTCAGACCATAACCCCATAGTAGTCACATTACGAACCAAATTAAAACTGGTTAAAAAACCCACACAAAGTAGAATTGATATTAAGAGATTAAGGGAACCACAAACAAAGGAACAAACTGTAAAAACTCTTACTGAAAATATACGTAATGCCCAAGAACTTAATAAAAGTAGCTATAACATTGATCAGAAATGGGAAAATATAAAAGCATCAATAATTAAAACAGCAAATGAAAACTTAAAACCAAAGAATAGAAAACATAAAGATTGGATGACTGAAGAAATACTACTATTAATGAATAAAAGAAAATCATTCAAATAAAAAATCCAATTAAATATAATGAAACTGATCGATTAATAAAAAAGATAATAAAAGAAGCTAAGAAGAGAATGTTACATGAGCAGTGCCAAGAACTAGAAGAAATTGAGAAAAAATATGACTTTTTTAACATGCATCAAAGAATTAGAGAATTAACAGGAATGAGAAAAACACTTCAAACTAGGCAACTAAGAGATGAAAGGGGTGCACTTATACCAGATATAAACCAAAAAATGCAGAGATGGACACAATATATAGCACAACTATTTGAAGACAAAGAGAGAACAGAAGCACCAAAAGAATTTAAGGATGATACTGGGCCTGACATTATACGAGAAGGAATTGAATATGCAATGAAACAAGCTAAAGATGGTAAATCTCCCGGGCCTGATGAAGTTCCTATCGAATTACTTAAAATTGTGAATACTGAATCTATTGATCTTCTTTTGGATCTATTCAGTACCATATATAGAACAGGTATAATACCTAAAGAATGGCTCCAATCAACATTCATACTGCTTCCCAAAAAAGCCAATGCAAAGGAGTGCAATGAACATCGCACCATAGCCTTAATGAGTCATGTCTTGAAATTGTTTTTAAAAGTAATTCACAATAGAATACATAAGAAATTAGATGAAGGCATAAGTAATACACAAATGGGATTTAGGAAAGGACTGGGAACACGAGATGCACTGTTTGCAATAAGTGTTCTTTCGCAGAGATGCTTAGATATTAATCAGGAAGTATATGCCTGTTTCATTGATTTTGAGAAGGCATTTGACAGAGTGCAACATAATCGACTTAAAGAAATTTTATTAAATAAAAACATAGACAGTAGAGACATTAGAATCATCTGTAACCTCTATTGGAATCAAACAGCAAAAGTGAAAGTTGAAAACAAACTGACCAAGGATATCCAGATTCGCCGTGGGGTCCGCCAAGGGTGTATTTTATCACCCTTGTTATTCAATTTATACAGTGAAGCCATCTCAGAATTAGCGCTTGCCGAGATCAGTGAGGGCCTTATAATAAACGGTGAGCCACTTAATAACATAAGATATGCTGACGACACCGTCCTTTTGGCAGAAACACTAGAAGAACTGCAACACCTTGCTGAACAACTAAATATATACTGCAACGATTATGGACTAAAAATCAATTTGAAGAAAACAAAGTTCATGGTATTTACAAAAGCACAAAACATCAAAGTTAAGCTAGTACTAGACAATACAGAAATTGAACAAATATCTTCGTACAAATACCTTGGAGCATGGATCACAGAAGATACTGATCAGACAAAAGAAATAAGATGCCGCATTGAAATTGCGCGGTCAACTTTTAATAGAATGAGAAAACTTTTTTGTAATCGCGATATCAATATATCGCTCCGGATAAGAATGCTTCGATGCTATATTTTCTCTACCCTTTTGTATGGAGTTGAAGCTTGGACACTTAAAAAATCCAACATTAAAAACCTAGAAGCATTCGAAATGTGGTGTTACCGACGCATTTTGAAAATATCATGGATGGATCGCAAAACAAACGAACAAGTTCTCGAACAACTAGGAACACAATGCGAAGTTTTAAATTCCATAAAGATCAGGAAATTGGAATACTTGGGACACATCATGAGAGGTGAAAAGTACGAACTACTAAGGAATATAATGCAGGGTAAAATCAAAGGTAGAAGAAGCGTAGGAAGACGTAAAATCTCGTGGCTACGCAATCTCCGTGAGTGGTTTGGATGCAGTTCAATTGAACTATTCAGGCGAGTAACCAATAAAATTATAATTGCCAGAATGATTTCCAATCTCCGATAGGAGTGGAACTTGAAGAAGAAGAATTTTAATATTAAAACAGCCTCGAAGTACGCCTAATGTGGACAAGTACTAGCCCGCCGTGTGCTTACTGATTCTGCAAGGGTGAATAGCTGTTTGTATTTGCTTGTTAATTTAATGAAAAAGAAAGTTTCTGCCATTTTTTTAATAATAAATTGTCGAAATAGGTTCTTACTTCCTATTTATATAGAAATAAAAAGTAAGTTACAGAAATATGCACCATGTAAAAAGTTATGAGAACTCAAAATTAGACTATATTTGAGATTTCTCTATATATAGCATTTATAACATAAAGCATTTTTAATCTAGTTTCAGCCGTACTTTACGATGGGACTAGTAAATAAAAATTTATTGTTAAAAAGTTTTTTGTAACAATTGATCACTTTTTGAGATAAGGTACTCTTTGAAGAAAAACAGTCTAGCTATTCAAATACTACGTATAGATAACGAAGAGTTCATTACAGCGGTCTTAGTTTACCACATCTCTCTTTTCTGTCGGCAACGACAGGATTCAGCATCTGCAACCGAGTGAGCTGGTTGGATACCTAGGCCGAAGGTATAATGCACTGGACAGACCAGAGTAGCCTTCAACCAGCTGCGGACACAGCTCGATCGTATTCAACGAACGGAGCTCAAATCAGCACAACATCTACTGGTACTTATTTGCTTCCGAAGTATATTGACAAACTACAGAGTCCAACCATCTCGATGAAAACGCTGAAGGGCTTTGAAAGGTCTGTACGTATAGCCGTTTGGAAGTTTCTGTCTCTCAATCGTACGTGCGCCGATGCCTACATCCACGCTTCCACTAAAGAGGGTGACTTAAGAAATGATAAGGAGACTGACACAATTGATCAGCTCAGCTACTGATACGACGTCTATAACCCTCAGTTTACCATACAGGTCACGTTTCTGGGAGAAAGTCCTCAATTGGACTCAAACATCGTCTGGCAATTCTGCATCGATCGTACGTGAAATGAGCCAGAAGCTTGAGGACAGCTGTAGTGGAAACAGACTTCCTCAGAGCTCTTCACATTTCGAAAGATCTGCCTGGATAAACAATCCACCGCCCTACTGGTCGGGGAGATATTTTATCAAGGCAATCCAACTGCGAGGAAATCTTCTGCCAACATGAGGCATCCTCCTCAAATCCACCACATGAGCGTTGGTGCCGAAAGGGGTGCGAACGTAACGAGAGTACAGCCGTCACTTATAAAACGACGCTGTGTACTGAGCCTCGATTCCTTCAAACCATGCAGACCCGATATTCTAAGAAAACCATTTGCATGACACCTTTAATCGTTGGAGCTCGCGAAACATGGTGTCAGTTAAATTCTCGTGTCATCAGAATTTTTAACCTTTCTATGTTTGACTTCCGCAATTTAATAACTAAGGCAGTTCAAGGTAGTATCCATATTCATAGTTATTTTATGAGATCTTAGCATAAGTGGCTTATGAGAATCTTACTTCGAGTGCAAGTACCGGCTTCTTCCTATCAAGGTGTCTACAATTGTCTAGTTAGGATTTTATTTTTACTGACGACGTAGATGTTCTGTTTTTTTTTCTTTACATGTTTGTTAATGTCCTTTGTAAATTTTACTTTTCTATAGTTACTATAAACTTTTTAAACAGTTATTATTTTTACCTTCGATTTGGCTTGGTGAACTAGTAAATGCAGAGGAGGGTGATAGATCTCGTTTCGATTAATACTGACCAAACATCGGGCCATAAAAGGCCATACGTTGCTGGTTTGTTACTTTCCGGATCGAAACGAAAGAAACAAATCAGCAGGACAGGGTCGGTTTTCGGATGGCGGGAGTTTGGTTGCGTGATGATCGTAGCCACCCAGCCGGCATCGCCAGCTGCAAACCAACAGAGGTATGGCTCCACTCTGATATCCAACTCTTGCAATATTTAAGGTCATCTGCTTATATAGATCCAAAAATTGCCTGTCTAGATGCCAAATATTATTAGATGGACTAGGGTGTATATGATGAGAGGATTAGATGGTAGATACATAGATTCATGTCTTATACTGCGGTGAAAGGTCTCGAGTAGGATATTAATATATAATGCGGTGCGTATGAGTAAAATTGGAACTGAGCGTACAGGTAGAATGCCTTACTGTGGTGTATCGAAATATAGATCTTGACAGAAAGAGAATACGTCGGAGCGCGGAAGAGGTGAAACGTATGAATACGTCTTACCATCCGAGAAAGAAGGAGTTGAATAGAAGGAACCGAGTTAAGAAGAAGAGGCACTGTAGAGGAGGGTGTGACAAGCTGAACGAGAATACGTGGGGTAAAGGGTATAAGATTGCAATGAAGCATTTCGACGCCTGTGCTCCATATGACATGCCATTGGACCAGAAGCTGGAGATAGTCACCAAACTGTTTTCACAAGAACGGTGGTATGGTGTGCGGAAAGACGTCAAGACTAAGCATAGAATTTCCTTTTCTTTGGATGAAGTGCCTGTGGTGGTGAATTTCCTTAAGTCTGGCTGGGCTTTCGGTCTAAATGGTGTTCCGAATGAGGTGGTTATAAGTCTGGGCTGTTTGGAGCCTACGTGTCTTTTGGAGCACATAAATGCTCTTCTTGACACGCAGTCGTTTCAGAATTCCTGGAAAATCTTGAGGCTTGTGTTCCTAGCTAAATTCAAGGCAGGAAAATATTGACCTATTTACTTTCTTACTTGCATCGGAAAGTTGTATGAGAAATTGCTTCGTGTACGTAAGGAGAAGGTGATTGTGATATCTGGATACCTGTTCTCAAGACAATATAGTTTCTGCCAGGGTAAAAGTACAGTAGATGCGGTGACCGATGTGCTTCGGGTAGCACGAGGAATTGGGGCTGATCACCAATGGATCATCCTGGTTTTCTTCAACGTTCGAAACGTTTTAATTACATTGCAGTGGGATCATGGAATGAGCTCTTTGGAAGCTAGGAACTGTTATGAGTATTTTAGGAATTTGATCAATGATCTTTCATGGAAAATTGTGGTGGATTGCAGGGCTCTGTCCTGGGTCTGAGAATATAGACCAGCATATGACAGGGTGTTAAACTGCGAATATGAAAAAGTCTTCGCATTCGAGGATGCCGACTGTAACGGAGTGGTAACGGGAAAAAGTGTCAAAGGTCTAACTCACTCAGGCATCTCATTTTGGCACAACTTTTTAAATTATTAGGAACCAACACTACCTAGGTGAGTCACAGGTATGTGTATGCAGATTTTTCTTCTTCTCTTTAAAGAATAAAAAAGTTATATGCTTTTATCTGTCTTCCATTTCACTCTCTACTTCTTGAGTCCATCGTTCCATTGCTCATATATTTTGCAAGTTATTGCTAGATTATTTTCAGTAAAAAATAGAAGAAAGTACACTTTCATAAATTTTTAAAAACACAAAAAAAGGTACAATATAGCTTTTAAGTGATTGCTTTTCTTCATTTCACAAAAATATAACACATGGCCCCCAAAGATTATATCTAATATTTAATAATTGTTGAAATAATATTTACGAACTGTTTTATGCAAGTTAGTTAAAAAATCGCCTTGCTTACCTATACTGGACGTGAAGGGTAGTTGTGCTGATGTTTTTAACAAAATATCTATAATCTTGCTAAAAAAATGTACTACTACAGTAATAGCATCGCTTATAGTCGATAGAAAGATTATAAAGTTGTTGCTAGATGCTAAAAAAAAATAAAAAACTTAAACAAATAGTTAAAATAAATTTAAAAGGTTAAAAAGTACATAAAAAGCATATAATTTAATAAAAAAACTAGAAAATTAATGAAATAAGGTAATGAAATGTAAGGACAGTCGTTAGTTAGTTAGTCGTCCAAGATATAATAAGGAGTTCCTTGTATTCCAACTGTATATATACTAAATGTATATATTCTAAAGTTGGGTAAATATCGGACATACAGTAAATAAGGTATGGATGGATTCAACCAAAACCAGTCATCAGGATGCATTTTTAAAAGGCTTGACTACTGGTCTAAATGATCCAAAACAAAGAGGTCCGAGATTTGTCTTGTTTCATGTTTGATCTAATAGAAGGTTTCTACCAAATTCAGATTGTATATTTTTAGCAAAAAAAATATTCAAGCGACTACCATGACGAAATGAACGGCGAGTCTTTCGAAGACTATTTTGAAAATAAACTAATCGCAAACCTCCCAAAAGGAGAAAAAAATGTGGCAGTAATGGATAATGCTTCATATCATTCATACAAACAAAATTTTCCAACAAGCTCCTGGAACAAACAACAAATTCACGAATGGTTACGAGAGAAGGATATATTTTATGAAGAAGATTATTTAAAGTCAGAACTATTGGATGTAGCAAACAGTTATGCAGATATTTACGACGAATAACATCGAAACTTTGGTCGAGAAATACGGCGTAGAAGTATATAAGTATTACTATTGCCTTTAAGTTAAAAATTACGTTGCAGTCCGAAACACTAACTTTAAAAAAGATCGTGTGCAACAACTCATCCATGAAGCGTTTGCCAATATCTCTGCTGAACAGTGGCAAAATTATATACAGCATGTCATCAAAATTGAAAAAGAAATGTGGATAGCTGACAACCTACAAGAAGATATCCTCCCGGTGATTATCATAGCCAACACCGGCAGTTCCAGTAAGGACGATTTTTCCGAAATAAAGTAGAGACCAGACACTGTTATTGTAGGTCTTATCTTTATTCATTATGTAGCGTTTAGGCTACATACATTTTTATTCTTTTATTAGCGTAATTTTATTCTTTGGTGTATACACACTTTTCTTTGTAATAATTGTTGAGACTGTTAATAGTAATAATTGATCCAAGTTGGTATATATCCTGTCGGTATATAAATTAACAATTTAAATTTGTAGCCACTACGGAGCTACGAATTTTTTTTGTAGCAGTTTCCCTAGTAGACCGTTCTGTTGTTACACCCTGTATAATTTAGTAAAAAAGATTTCAAAGAAAATAGTTTTATTAAATTTTGTGTAATTTGCAAAATCTTGAAGTTGTAAATAATGTTACATTTTCTTTTAATAGGATTGCATGATTTAATGTTATCGTACAGGAGGGCCAACGCGGTCCTGTATCACACCTGCAGACTATGAACGTGCCTAGCGGCCTAAGCGGCAACGTCGCTTCTCATAAATCGTTTTTTTTTTCGATTATAAAGCCATCTATCAACAATTCAAAATTCAAATTCAAAAATTCAAAAAATTCAAAAATCTGTCTCAAATAAAAGATACTTATTTTTAATGATGAATCCAAATCTTGGAGGTCATGGTCTCGCTAGTAAATGATTCCCTTGAAAAAGGTACATTCCCTAACTGCCTAAAGACTGCCATCGTCATTCCTCTTCATAAAGGTGGAGAAAAATCTGATGCCTGCAACTATAGACCTATTGCCTTGTTACCAGCACTATCAAAAATTATTGAAAGACTTATAAAAGTTCGACTTATGCCCTTTCTCCTTAAATATAATATTTTATCGCAAAATCAGTTCGGCTTTTTGTCTAATAAATGCACTAGTGATGCCATATTTTCTGTGTTACATGATGTATATCTATCACTAAACAATAACCTCTCCTCCGCCACCGTTTTCTGCGACTATTCCAAAGCCTTTGACTGCGTAAATCACGACATTCTATTAAAAAAATTAACTTTTTATGGAATTCGGGGTGTGTCCTTGAACTGGTTCAAAACTTACTTGGTAGGTAGGAAACAATTGGTTAGAATAAATGACACCGACTCTAGTTGTAAAGATATTGAGTGTGGAGTACCGCAAGGTTCAGTATTAGGTCCCATTCTTTTTTTACTTTTCATTAATGACATCACTTACTTGAAAATTAAAGGGAAAATTTTTCTATTTGCTGATGATACCAGTATTACTTGGAGCAGCTCTGATATTTCAACGCTTCATTCAATTATAACCGCTGATTTACTTATAATCAAGGCTTGGTCAGACTCCAACTTACTTAGCTTTAACGTGGATAAGACTGTAGCATTATCTTATAAAGGAGTCATGCAACCCTTGCTTTTGAATGAGAGCCAAATCAATATCGTAAATTCCGTGAAATTTCTAGGTATTCTCATTGACAGTGATCTCAAATGGTCCTTGCATACTGACTCCTTAAGGAAGAAACTAGCCTCAGCTTGCTTTGCAATAAGATCTGTTTCGAAGGAACTAAATTTATCTTCTGCCAAAATGGCATATTTCTCATTGTTCGAGTCCCATCTTCGATATGGGCTTCCATTTTGGGGTTCTAGTACAGCGGCCCAATTTGATACTATTTTTAAGTTGCAAAAAAGAGCAATCCGTTATCTATTTGGTCTCAAACAAACAACTCATTGCAAGACCTACTTCAAAAATCACGGAATTTTGACGCTTCCCTCTTTATTTATTTTGGAAACGGTTTGTTTGATTCGAAAGCATCTAAACATTTTTCCCGATAGACCTGACCATGGCTACTCCATTAGAAATTCGGATTGTAACGTTTATTTGCCGATCCCGTCCACTCAGCTAGTAAAGAATTCTATTCTATATCGTGCAAAGAAACTTTATAATCACCTTCCAAGAGAAATTAAATCCGCAACATCCTTCATTAAGTTTCGTAAGGTGACAAAAATCTATCTCTCAGAAAGACCATATTATTCAGTTGACGAGTTTCTTAATGTATAACAAAGAAACAAAATTAGTATTGTTTATAATTACATTTGGGTGTCTCAAGCAGTGGCTACAATTTGTCTCATTTGTTGTTGTCTGTACAAATTATGTAGGTTATACAATAATTTTACTAATTTAAAATTGTGTTATTCTGTTTTTTACTATATTTGTTTTGTTTTATACTTTTTGTACTATTTGACTGATTTATTTTTTAGCTTTGTCCATAAAATTGTTCAATAATTTTCAGTGACAATAAAGCATATTGTCCTGAATCTATTCTATTCTATTCTATTCTAAATCTGTTATAAAAAAATCCGGTATCCGTTTAAGATTTTCATTGTCACATTGTCACCTTCCCGTTATGTGATATTCGATAGACTTTTAAAAAATATTGAACACATGTTTTCAGTCTTTCGATCCAATGTTTAATTCGCGAAATATTTCACAGTCCAACTTTTTTCAACACACCCTATATATTTGTGTATATATTTGTGGTTTATTCCCAAAAAAGATTCATTAAAATCTTACTTTGGAAAAAAGTAAAAGTGAGAAAAAACTTACTAGGAAAAGTGTGCATAAAAATTACCCAATATATAGCAATATTCCTGTAGTTAATCATGTGTATATTTTTAATATAGTTTACTTACCGTTGTAAAAAATTTCGGTCATGTGTTCGACATAGTCCACAAATATTTCTGTAAGAAATATCACTAGTTTAGTATAAAAATTATAAAATTAAACATTATAACTATATACCTCAAAATTAGAGACTGGATTATATGCAAAATGCATGTGCATATATATGCAGCATATTTGTGGGTTTCTTTATAAATGCATATGCTATTCATATTTACTTGTAGTCCAGGCTGTGAGGCCGCTCCCGTTGGGAAAATGTTTCTGATTCGGTTTCTTCGCGGATTCCGGTTCAAAAATGTCCCCTTTAAACAAATCTGAAGGGTGCCGGGCGAAATTTTTGGGCAGAAATTGTTTAATACATTTTTTTAACAGTCCAAAAATAATTTTTTTTAATTTGGAAAACGTTTTTTTAGGTTTTTTGGGCCATTTTAAACAAAAAAGTCTCTTGTCATTTTTCTCTAAAGTTGATAGTTTTCGAGTTATAAGCGATTTAAAGTCTGAAAAACGCGAAAATACGCATTTTTGAGGATTGAAAACACATATGTAAATTATTATTTTTGAGGTTACCAAGTGTCTAAATTGAAATTTAAACATTCAACTTTAAGATTGTGAAGAGTAATTGGGGCTTATTTTAATTTAGGCCGTTGTTTTTTAATTGTTAAGTATGCGCGTACACTCGATTTTTCAGCCGCCGCGGCGCCGCGCACTGCCGTGCGCCTCTATCGTACTTATGCATAGTTTACATACACACTTACGCAAAAAAACCCGAACAAATCCTTGAAGTTTATTAACATAGTTTTTTCCATAATTTATTTATGTAGGTATTAATTATTGTCATTGGGCTCCAAATAAAAAAATATATTTTTGGAATTTGTTTAAAAAAAATTGTTTAAACAATTTCTGCCCAAAAATTTTGCCCGGCACCCTTCAGATTTGTTTAAAGGGGACATTTTTAAACCGGAATCCGCGAAGAAACCGAATCAGAAACATTTTCCCAACGGGAGCGGCCTCACAGCCTGGACTATTGCTTAAGAGCATATTGCCTTATATTTGAAAATATTACATAAATAAAATAGTTTTCTATACATATTTAAATAATAGTTTTTCGAAATAATTTAAAGCAGGTACTAGGTAAGGTAACTACGAAATAATTTTATTACAAATATCTACTAAATCTACAAGTTTTATTGTTTGGGAAAACCAATCTGGGAATCATTTATCAGAAGAATAGGGCCAACATGTAGGTAGGTATTATACAGTAAATTCGTTTTTAAATTCTCTTCACCAGCTGGCGAAGGTGATTGTGAATATTGTCCTTATAAAATAAAAATAATTTCTTGTTTGAAAATATGCCGAAAGTAGCGAAACAAAAATCAAGTC